ATAAGTAACACGTTCCCGCCAATTGTTTTTTTCTACCACGCTGCTCTGTTTTAACGAAGACAATTGTAGTATTCTATGCATGTGCCGGTGTCAGTCATCTTCTTGTTTAACCGGGACTCTGGAAAGTACATCAAACAAGCATTATGAAAAGTACGACATTGGTGTAAGTTGATCAGTTAGGGAAGTTTACTGAATATCGATCAAACGTTATGGCAAAATGTACCAGGAGTCAGCATGTTACACTGTTCTCTCGACCAGAGGTCTTCTCTCATCCAACTCATCTCTCTCTTCTCGTCCGATATAATTGCCGTGAGTTTTGTGTGTGAATAGCTGTTTCGACTCTTCCATCCAGTAAAAACGCTATTGGAGTAAGGTCTTAGAAGTGATTCCACTGCACAGAATCCAGATCATAGCACCACTAATTATAAACCTTATTTTACTCGCATTTTGATCAACCGAGCAAATATTTTTGCTGACTTGAACAATCATCTCTCGCATTAGGATTTTACGTAAACCCGTCTGTTTGTCATTTCGTAAATATATATTTCTTCTTTTTCCAATACTTAACGTTTTTCTCCCTACTGTAACCTGTCGAAAATGCTGAAAATTCATCCTATCGCGTGCATAAAGCCTTAATTGACTTGACTTGACTTGTCCTCTAATTTGACGGTAATAATGCTGGATGTGTATAGATATCACCAGCTTTGAGCAAGCTTTGATAATATGAACTTGATTACTACCATTCTAATTTTAATACAATTTTAATTATTGATCATAAAACCCAATGTGGTTTTTACCTAGAAATGTGATTGCCAGTATATTTTTTCTTTGTTGATAGGTTTGGCGAGACCGATTCGTTGATTCGGAATTTGCAATTCTGATTTGACAAAATGCCACCAAAAAAGAAGAGAGACAAATTCGCAAACATGACTGAGGAGGAGAAAGCGGTTTATTTGGAGCAGCAGCGATTAGCTGAGGAAGATGCGAAGGCCAGAAAAACTGCAATGCTGACCAAATATCTTCAAGTAAGACGTTCGTTTGCATAAACACATCCAATTGGTGTGATAGGATAAGTTGGAAAAAGAGGAGAAAATTACTCGGTTAAATCAGTTCAAACTCATTCATCATTGGAGAACAATTATGCGGGAGACCAAATCCCATGAGTTGAAGCGAGATATTGACATTCTGTCACAAACATTCGAGCGCATTATTGACAGGTAACAAGAAAAACTGAACACTTTCCCTGACAATACATTACTTGTTTGTGAAATTATAGAAAGGACAGCATCATAAAAACGTTGATTAAAGACTTGAACGAAGCCGAAGAGCAGCATATGATGTCGTTGCGCTCACATCTTGACAATGTCGATCGCATGATTGGTGAGTGTTCTTTTCAATGTCATTTGCCTTTTGAAAGCATGCAAAGGAGGTTTATGTGAGATACAAATTCAAATTCAACTTTTGATTATGGGTAAATTACAAAGCTTATGCTTATATAGGATCCCATAGGATCTGTACACACTGGGTTCCGTTGGTAGTAGAATTAAATAGGCAATTATAATGTTCACTCACGGGTAATGAAAAGTTAGGTGCTTCAGTACTTCACCGAGCGGTGACCGAAATGAATAAGTTGTTGAAGCAAAAGCAACTTGAGGTGGAAAAGAATCCCAGGTATTACAAATTCTGAGGCCTGCACTTTAGCCGACTCTTTTGGAGCAAAAGTTTAAATGGATGTTTCCTGAGGTGACCATTCCTGGATAGTGTTAGTGAAGTATTACATGGGTGGTTAGATTGATGTATTATTTGATATGCGAGGATCATGTCTCCCGTATTCGGTTTCCAGACGAATAAAGTCCGAGAATATGCTGCCTTTTGCCGTAGGTTTTAGATTGTAACCCTTTGACCATTTTGGTTACTGTTCTCTGCGGATGCATTTTGGTCGCGAATTAGCCATGGATCCAAGCCTGTATAGCATACTCGGTATGTAGTCTAATGTACCCTGATAGCAAACGGGGAATATGTGTGCTTCGAATGGTCCAAATACATGTTTTAGTAATTCAATCCGTTTTATAGCCTTAGAAGACGCTCTAAAGCAATGTATGGAACATCTTATATCCAGACGAATAATAACTCTCAAATCCTTTTCGTTTGAAGCACGCGGTAATGGTTGATTTCAAATTACGTATGGAAAGCGACCCCTTTGATGAGCGATACGACCTTGCTTTGTTAAAAGTTGAATTCGAAGTGATTAGTGATAGACCATCGGTAAGCTGTAGGGTTTCATTATCTTCAGGATGTTATACCGTTCTCCATGTTTTGGCACCGTCATCGAATAATGATGCTTTTTCTCCAAGGATAGCTAGTAGGTCGATTAGTAATGCTATTGAAAGGTACGGATAAAGTACGGATCCTTGTGGAACTCCACGGACAGCCTCAATTTGTCCCGATAGAGAAGCAGTAACTCGAACCGATACGGTACGCTGTTGAAGAAGTTCTTCAATCCAGTCAAAGATCATTCCTCGAACACCGTCTTGATGAAGCTTTCGCAACGGTATGCGGTGGTTAACCCTGCTAAAGTCTTTGGAAAAGCCTAGGTAACCAACGTCTACTGCCTCCCTTGCATCGAATGATTTTGTCCACTCATCTCGAGCAAGTTGTGGTGCACCAGCGTTTTCTTCGAAACTCGTGTTGGGCCGGCGAAAGACTGTTATACTTCTCGAAGCGCTCCATCAGAGAATCAGCAACAACTGATTCTGTTACTTTTGACAGAACAGGAAGAAGTGAAACTGAACAGTAGTTCGCAGGATCACTTCTGAAGCTACTTTGTAAATATTAGAAATTATACCGTGTTTAAAAGACTTAGGAATCACAGTCTTATCGAACATGCTTTAGTATAAATGTGCAATTATTTCGGATATATGATTTGCCAAAGATGTCAGGGTTTGTGAGCGGATATTTTCTCCCCCTGGAGATGAATTCTTGCACTGCCCCAATATTTTGGCTTTCACCTTTTCAGATCTGAATGTAACGGCAGTCAATTGAGTGTATGGGACACTTGGCAGAAGGTACGGAAGCTACAGTCTGATTTTGTCACCTGTAGCGAACACTTCGTAGAACTAGACTTTTAGGAGTTCGGCTGCTTCAGACATATTAATGGAAAGGTGTGCTGCATGCCACGGTGCTAGTACTCCCTATTTCAGTTTTCTGGTGGCATTGGTATGTTTATATAAGAGATTTGTGTTGGAAAAATTATGCTCCAGGGTTTCTTCGAAACTTCCGTTTATCCTCTCGCACTAATTTTACACAAAAGTTTCTCAACATCATGTAGTTTTCCCAAGTGTCAGCGGGTAGACATCTTTTGAACTCTTGCCTGGAGAAATTCTTCTGTGACACCCGTTTCTTGGTTCAAATCCGAATAGGTCATAAACGTGTAGGTTTTTGTAGTTACTTTTGTGAATTCTGTTAGTGCCAACAAGTCTTTTCCAGGACTTCAATGGGACAACTGAATTTTCCCATTGTCAGAACATGAGTGAACTTTACTGAGAGAGCTTATCTCATGGTCAGCAACAGTGACTCGTTAGCTAACTCTGAGGATGCAAGAGAGCGATAGGCAACACCGATAAAACAACCGCTTTCCTTGGACAGCCGTCATTATGCAGCAAAGTGTGTCGGGGGCTGTATTGAATATTACTGCGAAAATACAGCAACACACAGCAACATCGTGTAGAACGATCACGTCTCAGCAGGGACATTCCAGGTGGGTGCGATTCAGAGTCAAGGATATCGGCAGTCAACCAGGTTTCGGCAATGACAACAAGATCCCACTGACCAGTTTGCAAGCACACAAAAACTCCGTTGACATTACACATACACACACAAATATATATATATATATATTTGATAATAAGTAGTATGTGAATGATTGAATAAAATTTCCCTGGAAGCACACGACCGGTTTCGCGGTTCTTGCCGCTCGTCAGACATGCGTATCCGGCAATCTTTTGTCAGTTCATTCATATACTTGTACCCAGGAAGTGTATTTTCGTCACAATAACCTTGTTTGCAACGCCGGG